TTTGTTGTAACTATTATTTCATTGCAAAATAGAACAAACATGACAATATTCTGTTTAAAATGTAGGCTACATTTCAAATGTAAAATGTTCACTTAACATTACCTGTTGGAACTATTATTTCATTGCAAAATAGAACAAACATGACAATATTCTGTTTAAAATGTAGGCTACATTTAAAATGTAAAATGTTCACTTAACATTACCTTTTTTTTATGTTGAACTGTTGTAAAAAATGAATGGCACATTTGCCATCATTTGTATATTCAGGGAAATGTTCATTCTTGCTCGTATCTTAAAAATGAAACAATAACATGCACAGAGTGTGTCTGTATCGAAGAGTTTAAATCGATCTCAGTCCGTGTCAATATTTGCTCTTCATGCTATTAAGTGAAGATCTATTTTAAAGATACTTTGAAAAGCAGCGCGATTTGCTAAAGCAGCATATTCAGCAGGCATCCTATCACGTGCACGCTTGTGTGGATGCAGTCACCGCAAACCGCAAAAGATGAGGTAAGCTGATTGGATATCATGTATTTGACCGTTTACGGCACTCCCATTTTTTCCATTAGAAATACATGTTCGGTTTTAATGTTACTTTAAGTTGGGGTAGAATTAAATGAATGCCAAAACTCAGAATTTTGTTCGCGTACCCCCCACCATCATCTCACGTACCCCCAGGGGTACGCGTACCCCAGTTTGAGAACCACTGCTTTAAATTGATCAAAATCAACAGTAAAGACATTTATAATGTAACAACATATTTCCATTTCAAATAAATGCTGTTCTTTTGAACCTTCTAGTCATTAAAGAATCCTGGAAAGAAATTAATCACAATTTTTTTACACAGCACATCTTTTTTATCATTAATAATAACAAATGTTTCTTGAGCACCAAATCAGTATAATAGAATAATTTCTGAAGGATCGTGTGACACTGAAGACCTTTAATTGCCCCTTGTGGGATTAATAAAGTTGTTAACTTAACTTAATGATGCTGAAAATTAAGCTTTGCCATCACAGAAATAAACTTTAAGTATTAAAACAGTTATTTTAAATGTAATTCATATTTCATAATACTGCTGTTTTTACTGTATTTTTGATCAAATAAATGTGGCATTTAGTGAGCATAAAATACTTCTTTAAAAAAAATTATACCGACCCCAAACTTTTAAATGGTTGTATATATTAGCATATACATATACTTTTTTTCTCAGAATTGCAACTTTATTTCTCAGAATCACTCGTTTAAATCTTCTTTTCTCACAATTGCGAGTTTATCTTCAGCACTCTCGATAGGTGACACCATCCTCTCCACAGTGAGAAAGGCAGCCAGGTTAGCCGTGTAGGAGGAGATGATGATGAGGGTGAAAAACCACCACACTCCACCCACGATGCGTCCAGATAGAGACCTACACCGCCGGAAAGGAAGAGAGTGGAGAGGAAAATGACCATGCAAGGAGGGTTTGAAGGAGTGGTGAATGACAGAGCAATGAAAGAAAGGATAACATTGATTTAAAAAAAGGAAGGAAAACATTGGGGAAAAGGGAATGAGGAAAACAGGAGGAGAAAAGGAGAGAAATGTTTTGTCAACTTTAAAAAGACAGAATTACTGCTTTAAAATAATTGAAAAAGAAAGTAAAATATTAAAAATAAGATGTAAAGGTTTAATTTATTTAAATATGTTGCTTCAAACCTGTATGATGTAATTTTTCCATGTACACTACTGTTCAAAAATGTGGGTTTAGTAATTTTTTTTTAAAGAAATGAATACTTTTATTGAGGAAGGATGCATTAAATTGACCAAAAGTGACAGTAAATACATAATGTTACACAAGATATCTATTTTAAATAAATGCTGTTTTACTTTCTTTTCATCAAAGAAAATAAGTCACATTTAACATATAACTATAAATATCTATAACTATAAAATATCTATAACTCTAAATATACTGCCATCAAATATGGTCCGGTTTGGTCTAGCAACAAGTAAGAATCAATGACTTTTAACATCTAACCTGCACCATAGGTGACATATTCAATAACTTAAAATATGATCTATTCATCGGTGCATTTGTAATACTTTTACTGTGCTTTTGTTGTTATATTTTCGTTTTTGGAGGTCACTATAAACTTCTTGTTTGGAAAAGAGTTGCATGAAGATTTAAAATCCTCATTTTGAGTTCAACAGATAAAACAACAACATACAGATTTGGAATGACATGATGGTGAGTTAACAAATAATCAACAAAAATTTGATTTCTTGCTGAACTCCCTCTTTAAATTCAGGTATCCAGGCAGTAGTTCCTCTATGGTGACCTTACAGAAGCTACTGTAGATCTTCAGTTGCTAACAGTATAAAACACAGCCTGTCAAAACAGTCTTTCACCGCAATGATCATTTAATTGACTCCATGTAGGTGAGGGTCTCCTCCACTAAGAGGGAGCTCTCTCCGACCGGTTACCATGAAGACAGATTGGCTATTTAGAGTGGGCCGGCAGGGATGTCAATCACGAAGGGGGCGAAGTGCTAAAACCCGGCCGACACTGTTTAAATTCTCACCTCACCCTGATTATGCAAACCAGTTTACAGGATGGCGATGCGAAATTTATGCAGGCCTGTCCTTCTTTTTCTGCTGTCAAGGAAACATTTCTGTATTAAGACGCAGTGGTTAACATAATTAGCTTTTAGGAACGAACTCAAAGCGGGCCATCACCCACCTGAGGTTTGAAGCAGAGCACATTGTGTAACTTAAAATCCACTGCTAGTCTCTAACCTGCATGCAGACGCAACATTCAAGCCCAGTGACGTCTGAGGATCAGATGCACCGGGGCTCACGCTAACCGTGGTTAATCGATTTGACTTCATGAGACAAAGCCAATTTAATAAGAACCTAAATTGAGTGGACACGAAACCAGGGAGTCACCCCTCGGGCCGCTCCGCTGCCCTGCCGCTTGGCATACAGTATCATTCATAAAGACATATGATCCATGAACAAACAAGAATTCTCTCTGGTCCTCATAATGTCATTTCTTGTAAAACAGATCCTCTGATCACAGCTCAATGATAAGAATCACACTGTCTCTGTAGATTTCACACATACACACAAGCACAAAATAAGCAAACTATCCCTCAAAGCAGCTCATTATCAAAGCAGTGCCATTAGAGCTGCGAGATGGGATGTGCTACTGTCAGTGAAACTCTGCGCATTACTCACTATGCCGCTTTTATGCAGATTTCCCAGCCAGGAGGACACATCAGCATGTGTGTATTTGAGCGAGAGAATGTTTGGTGAATTTCAATTACATTCTGAAACGTTAGCAGAGGTAGATTTGTGGAGGGAGTCAGAGAGAAAGCAAGCGAGACGCAGAGAGAGAAAGGAACGGAGAGACCTTGACATGCCGTAGATAAATGGAAAGGTCACTGCCCAGAGCCACAGTGAGCCTCTGGCATTTTATTTATTCATGGCTTCCTCTCAACTGCTCTGATTAAGATTTAATACCTGCAAATCAGTTTCGCCATGCGTGAGACTAGAGTCATTCACAATCACATTCCACATTACTGATCAAATTGGAAAAATAAAAAAAAGCAAACTCTTACATTAGCCCATTAAAAATACATTCATTCCTATTTGGCAGCAATTTCTATCTCTCGGTCGTTGTCAGATACAGCATGTGGCATCTTCAAACGCCTGGATGTCTCAGTGTGGCCTGAAAATTAAAGAAACCTTAACGTGTTACTTATTAGAAAACATAACTAATAGCATTACACTCTAACTTTTTCTCACTCTGAATAAAAGGTATTTTTTTTTACATTGGAAGTGATCAAGTGTTTATTCCCATAACATGGTTTGTATGCATTGACATATGTGACCCAGGACCACAAAACCAGTCATAGGGGTAAATTTTTTGAAATTGAGATGTACACATCATCTGAAAGCTGAATAAATAAGCTTTCCATTGATTTATGGTTTGTTAGGATAGGACAATATTTGGCTGAGATACAACTATTTGCAAAAAATAAAAAAAATAAAAAATCTAAATATTGAGAAAATGGCCTTTAAAGTTGTCCAAATTAACTTTTTAGCAATGGATATTACTAATCAAAAATTAAGTTTTGATATATTTAGGGCCAGTTTTACTAAACAAGGCAAATTAGCGCGAGAGCGCAATTCCAAAACAGCGCCGATGGGCCTGAAAATTTCTGCGGGTGATTTACTAACAATGCACAAATGAAAGAACACAGATGCAACATCTCATTTACATATCGATCAACGCAATATACCAAGCACAGCGCAAATTAGCGTAGTCGCGAATAAACAATAAAGAAATAAATAAGCCACAGTAGCCTACTCTGAAAAGAACCGGAGGCCAAAAAATGAAGGGTTGCAATAAGTTTTTGATAGAGCTGGTATTGCGTGACTCCTAGATGAGGGTTCCAAGCTGTCTTTTATTTCCTGAAGCAAATTAAAAATAAGATGGCTTGGCAAACGATTTGTTCGGATAATGCATTCTTTCCAAATAAATTAATACGTGTGGATAAATCCTCCCCCTTCTACCACGCACTCTCTCATCTCTGTAGTGCCTCTTCCAGCAACAATAATTGCAGCCATTTCGAACGCAAAATAGTTGAAGACATGTTTTTTTGGGGGGCGTTAAATAATGGCTAAATGCCAGTAATTGGACGAGCGCAAACGTTAGTAAAATGCGTTGAGTGATTCATTTGAATACTCTCCGTCTCCTCCCATACATTTTGCGTCTGAAAGGTAAACTCCTAGAAATGCATATTCAATAAGGTCAGGCGCAAAAATAATTCAGTGCTAATTCTTCACTGCGCGTCTTTAGTAAATCCTGACAGTACTATTTTAACACCAAAAGATGGTTTGGCGTAGTACAAGTTGTAGTAAAACTGGCCCATAGGGTATTACATTTACAAAATATCAAAATAAGAACATGATCATTACTTAATATCCTAATGATTTTTGGCATAAAAGAAAAATCAATAATTTTTGACCCATACAATGTATTGTTGGCTATTGCTACGAATATGCCTGTGCTACTGATGACTGGTTTTGTGGTCCAGGGTCACATACAGTACAGGCTATATATCAGAAATTTTCAAAAGTTGTGATTTCAAGAATCCTTGAATATGATGATCCACTTGTCAGGAACTCACTTCCTAAAATAAAAAAGGAATCTATGCTACCACAGAAATATTAAGCTGTTTTCAACACTGATAATATGCATAAATGTTTCTTAAGCACCAAATCAGTATGATTTTTGAAGGATCATGTGACATTGAAGACTGAAAGTAATGGCTGCTGAAAATTCAGCTTTGCCATCACACGAATAAAATACATTTTAAAATATATTAAAATTGAAAATAGATATTTTGAATGGTAACAATATTTCACAATGTACTGCAAAGGCAGCATTTTTTTTTAGCGCAAGCCTTCTTTCAAAAACATTACAAACTAACAAAAACTTTTGAACAGTAATACATAAAATATATATATACCTATTAAATCAACAAAAATAAATGAATTTGTTGTTTTTTTTCAAGTGAAAATAATTTTTATTGTCATATGCTACACTTCCATATAAAATGAGCAGCTTTAGTTGTGCTTATATTACACATTCTAATATTTTTATGACATTTCTTCATATTATTAGTGTTGAAAACTGCTTAACATTTTATGGAATCCCTGATATATATTTTTTTCAAGATTCTTTGATGTATAGAAAGTTCAGAAAAGTATTTATTTTTTATCAATTTAATGCATACTTGTTGACTAAAAGTATTAATTTACTAAATCAAACTTGGTAGTGGTTATATTTTCGTGTACAACAATTCATTTACACTGTATAAGAAATTGTAATCCAAATGTCATATAATATTAACATCAATGTTATATAACATTATCCTCAAAACACTTTTTGAAAAATCTTTTTCTTTTCCTTAATTTCCATGAACCTCCTAGCACCCACCCCTGTCAGAAAGCCCCTCAAAGTTGCATTTCATGACTTAATGTACAGTAGAATGAGTGTATTTACACAAGTATCAAAACCACAGGAAACAATGTATCTCTCTGTACCATTTTTGACAAAAACATCTTAACAGCTGGCCATTTTATTTTCATGCACAACAAAACAGAAACAAGAACTGATTGCCATGACAACAGCAAAATTTAGGACGGCCGCACCTGTGTTCAAGGGCAGAGAAATCTACCGCTGCTCTGCGACAACAGCCAAATTGTTATTTCCGTCCACTTCAAATAACCAGCTTGACTGGATTCTACTAAAACACCATTAGTTTTTCGAAAATAAATCCAAACGTCACCGATAAGCATGACACACTCTCTAGTCTAGAACAATACCCATCAACTTCTACAATGCATGTCATAAGCACAATTGCTTCCAAAATGAGAGGTTTTCAATTGCACTTGTCTGCAAATAAATTACATAATACAAAAAAGTTATCTTATTTGAAAAGGTCATATATTATATGGCGTTATTTCACTGGAAAACAAGTAATCTAACTACGTCACATGTATTACTTGTAATGCAGCACATAACGCATGCTATTTTGGGGATGTGTTTCATCTGTGTATGGTCATAAATCTCAAAAGGAAATTACAGTTCAAGGGTATCAACTTTTATCCCAGAGTGTCTTATGTAGATAAATGATTTGTGGGCTGAAATGATCATTTTGGCATGACGAAAACCTGGGGCAAAGCTTCCTCTGCGGTAGCGTAATCTCCTTTCTCTCATTTCCGTTACTGTTACAGCACTGGCCTGGTGAGTCAATCATATCCTTACATCACTCCCATGATCTCTCTCTCTTCCTAGCCCTACAATCATTTACAAGCCATCTGAGGAATAAAAGAAGTCAGTGAATAGAGGCAATTATTGGAGCAAGATCGACCATAAAATACAAAAGTAGGGGCAGAAGAAGAAAGCGAGAGAGAGAAGGGGATCGAGAGAGACAAAGAAGGCAAAAGAAAAGGAAAATTGTTCTTTGACAATTTGCAGAGAAAAATGAAAATCATAGCTTTTTTTTTTTTATCAATCTTCCATACATCCCCTCCCCTCTTCATATCCAGTTAAGTACATGCTACACCTGCAAACTCAAGAATCCTTGACAACATTCGTCAGCTTCACACAAACTCGAATAAATATTACCCAGTCAGTGCAAGCGAAGCACTTCAAGGACTTGACACTTCAAGAAAAGGTTTTATATAAGGGCTGCGACACGTTTTTTTTTGAGTCGCGACACAATCTTACACGCCGCATACCGAACCTATGACTATCATTAGCATATCTTAATTCCCCATGATGCAATTTCAAGAGGCTTCATTCACAGAGGCTGTGTGTGTTCGAATCTGAAAATGAGTTTTTTTTTAATCTTCCCAGGTCTGATAGGGTCCGCTGCCTACATGCATTACAACTACAAAACCACTGCAATAGCGCACACGCCAGATGCTGGCTGTTTCCGAGGCTCAGGAAGCTGCTCTACCTGTCTGCTGATGACACCTGCCAGCCCGCCTGAGCCAAAAACACGACAGGGAAAACAGGCGAGAGTTATGACCCTGTCCGGCCCCATCACACAAAACGCCCTCAGCATTTTCATACCCCATCATTCCCACATCATCCTCATCAATCATCTTCCTTACAAACTGTTTTACTCGCTGTGGAAACTGTGAACAAGGAGGACACATGGAAGAGAGTGGTGCTGAATGGAACTGAATTAATTACTTGTAGCTTGACTGTAAGAAATGTATTAAAATAAGATGACTCAAAATGACACAATCAATGCCTCACTCTGAAGTGCTGTGTTTATGAATCAATATTTCGATGGGGATTCAAGTTCAAATTGAGCACAGTGTTATTACACAATCAAAGTTGAAGTGTGTAATTTCTGCACCACTAAAAATAATAAAAGATAACAGAGACCTGAAATCAAGTCTCTTAGAACAGAACTTTTCAAACTTTTTTTTTGATGATCTCCTTACTAAAATTAAAAAGCAGCAATATATTTTCCTGTATAAAAATCCATGAATAATGTGTGAGAAAAACAATAAGTGTGATAGTAAGAAGACAACATGATCTCAAATTTGAATAACTGGTTTGAAATTCAACTAAACAACAGCAACAATTATTATTTTGTAATAACAATATTTATGAATATTATTATTATTAGAAATAAAAGAAAGAAAAACAACAACAATCATTATTATTAATAATAATATTTCCGTATAAAGACTCAGTAATACTGTACTGTGAACATAAAATGTAACTTATTCTTAAATTCAAATGAGAATAATAATAATAAAATTAAAAAAAAGTGAGCGACGTGACGTGACATGTGGCCAAGTATGGTGACCCATACTTGGAATTAGTGCTCCGCATTTTAACCCATCCAAAGTGCACACACACAGCAGTGAACACACACACACACCCGGAGCAGTGGGCAGCCATTTATGCTGCGGCGCCCGGGTAGCAGTTGGGGGTTCGGTGCCTTGCTCAAGGGGTTACGAGTCCGACTCTCTGACCATTAGGCCACGACTTCCCCCAAATAATAATAATTATTATTATTGGTGTTGCTGTTGTTAACAAATATTACTCTAATCTAATTCTGAAACAAATAATTATAACTATTATTTTCATGTACAGTATAAAGACTCATTAATACTTTATGATAAAAGTAATAATTGTGATATTATGAAGACAACATGATGATCCCAAAATTAAATCACCTAGAAAACATTTACTTTGCATGAAGTTTAATGTGTATCTTTATTTCTATACTAAAAGGCCAGCGACAGGGAAAAACTACTACTTTTTCCCCCACAAATAATTGTGCAGATTTGGTTTAAATTTCTTATTGTTAAATAGCATAAAAATAAAAATGGTAAAATATTTGAACTTTTCTCTCAAACTCCCTCTCTTAAACACCTGCTTTACGAGCCCCTGGAAATCTCATGGACGCCAGTATTAAAACCCCTGTCTTGGCCTATGATCTGTCTTGTGACAAATGGGTTTGGCTCCACTATGCTCCACGAAAATGGAATGTGAAAATTAATATGAAATCAAACAAAAAAACTTTACTGCAGGGCAGTACAGTCCTGTGGGAAAAGAGAAAGTATTTTAACGTCGAAAAATTACACACTTCAGCTGTTAAATATGCATATAACTATCAAGTGCATAAGAAAAAGACAGCAAATCTGCACATTTGAATAACCAGTAGGCTATTAGACAGAGAAGAAGAGGAGGAGGAGGAGGAAAGGACAAGTACCGACACCCGGGTAACGCTGCTGTGCAACTGCGTCATCTTGTCTAAATCAAGAACATTGAGGTAAAGGCACATGCTGACTAAAGATAATTAATGGCATGTACTAAAGAAAATGAAGGGAAGTGCTTTTTCCTGCTTTTTCCGTAATTTATCATTGGCTCCTATCCAACTCATTCAACTCATCAACGCAAAAACGATGAAAGCATGATTCTTATAAGTCCTAAATGGGTCCTCTTCAAAACCATAGGCCCTCTACAGCGCTGTGATGTACAGGCTATAGAGCAGAAGAGACAGACACTATGGTTTTGACGGCTCTCTAAGTACCTGCTGTCTTCCGCCATGTGCTGTGCTTTTTACTGCTCTTCTCTTCCCCTTGGCCTGTCATGAGTGATTTCTTATCTGGTGGGGGCTGAAAAATAAAGCCTGTTTTTTTTCTCTTCTCTTGATAACACTTCTTAAAGAGCTCTATCGTGGTCATGCAGGTGCTTATTACACAGAGAAAAGAGGGGGCGGGTGGGGGTGCGAGCGAGCCTGATGTTAAACCTGCAGGCGAAGGAAGGAGCAAGAGACAAATAACAAAAACAAAGTGCCACACAGAGTAACGATGAATGACTAGCACATTTCCTGTGAGACTCCTGTGAGAACTAGCCGGCAGGACAGACGGGCGATGTGTGAACATCAAATGGGACGATGAGCGATCGGACTGTTCCGCTGGACCCCGGACCCCCCACTTGCTTCACTGATGGTAAAATTCATCAAGGTGCAAAGTGGAATGACACCTCAGTTACTTACTGAGGAACCGGAGAGACAAAGTGTGATGTATTCGGTAAATATAGAGCACAACGTGTTCAAGGGATAATTCACCCAAAAATGAAAATTCTGGCATCCTTTATTGTTTTCAAAAACTGTTTGACTTTCTTTCTTCTGTGGAACACAAAAGAAGATATTTTGAGGAATGTTTCAACTGCTTTTGTCCATACAATGAAAGTCAGTGGGTTCAAAAACAACATTGGTCTTCATTGACAAGATTTTTCCACAAAGTATTTCTTTTTGAGAGGTCTGGAATAACAACTATTTTTTCTTTTGTTTTTTTTTGGGTGAACTGCTCCTTTATGACTGACATTTGCCACATACAAATGGAATATGACCATATCTATAAGTATGTTTACATGCACTCCATTCAATTTGTGACATTCAAAATGTATTTAATTTTTAAAAAATATTGTCATGTACACTACCGTTCAAAAGTTTAGGGGCTGTAAGATGTGTGTTTTTGAATGACGTCTTCTATGCTCGCCATTTATTTGATCAAAAATAAAGAAAAATGGCACTATTGTGAATAATATTACAATTTACAATAAGAATTTTCTATTTTTATGTATTTTCAAATGTAATTTATTACTGTGATGGCAAAGCTGAATTTTCTGCAGCCATTACTCCACTCTTCAGTGTCACATGATCCTTCAGAAAGTATTATAATATGCTGATTTGCTGCTCAATAAATATTCCTTGTTACTATCAATGTTGAAAATGGTTGTGCAGCTTAATAATTTTGTGGAAACCAGGAGTCTTTGACGAATAGAAAGTTCAAAAGAACAGCATTTATTTAAAATAGAGATCTTTTGTCACAAAGACTTTACTGTCAATCTAATCTTGCTGAATAAAAGTATTTCTTTAAAAGAAACACCTGGCACCTGAAACTTTTAAATGGTAGTGTATATGTGAGAAAGTCACAGTAGCTTGATTATAACTGTGCATGTAAACGTTCTTAGTGATGCTTGTGACTAGGTTGTTCCTCGCTCTCCCCAAAGATTCAAAGCAGATACAATGAATAAACAGCGAGTGTTAATGCAAGTTCTCCCACTTGGCTGCTCCTCCATGTTCTTTAATTCAGACTCGTCATCAAATCACTATGGAAACTACAGCAATGACTCTATTTCAGGTATCAGATATTACCATATCATAACTGTATTAATTCCCACTGCAATATACATTTTTTACCTCTTAAGCAGTTTTCTAGTAGTGGATTGAGTTTACTGACCTGGGCGAGATGTCGCAACCCTGCTGCATGAAGGCTCCGAGGGAGAACCAGAGACTGTTGAAGATTCCGAACTCATTGGGGGGCTGGTCGCTAGGCAGACCGTCAGTGCCCTCTTCGGGCTCCTCGGTGTGCCACTCGTACGGGCTGAAGCGGCTGACCAGGAAGAGCACCACGCTCACGCCGATGTAGGCGAACACAATGCACATCCAGATCTCGTAGGCCAGCGGGTCCAGGAAGGAGAATACGCCCGGTTTGGACTTCTGGGGCTTCTTGATCATGATGGAGATGCCCAAACTCATGAAGGGTTTCGAAAAGTCAATGACCTCCTCCCGGACCAGAGTAATAGTCAACGGGGCCACAGCGATTTCCGCTTTCTAGAGCAACAGAAAAGCATTTTTATATTCCGTTATAATCACTTCAAAATATGCTTGCTTACAAGCAAAATAGACATAATGGCATTGCTAAGTTTTTTAACTGAGCCATTTGATTGGATAAGCTAACACGAAATATTTGCATTCAAAGCTGAGATCTCATATTTCAACATTATACTTAGAGGAGAAAAGAGCGAATAAAATGAGAAAATAAAGCATAATCTGCCGATTCCCACCTCTCCTCACATCATATTTTATAACTTCTCTAATTGAACAAGGCTTTGCATATTAATGCCAAAAAATCCAAGGAGTTAATCCAAGAGGCTTAATACTGAGGTTTGGGGGAGAAGGATAAACTAATCAATGCAGAGAAAAAAAAAGAAATTTTGCTTACAGCAAAAGACAGAAAAAACTGTAGAGTCTAAAGTCGGGCTGCACATTTTGCTGCATGGTAAATCTAAAAACTAGATTATTGTTGGTGACTTAGTGACACTTTAGACCTTGGCAGGGCTGCGCAAGACTAATCCAAAAAAGAAATTAAAGTTTCTCATAACTGTTCGACACTTTCAAGAGGAAGAAAAAAACTTTTGGGCTGTGTGTTTTCTGGTGCTCATCAAAAATCTACAAGATGACAAGCACTGGCTGTATGCAGTGCTCATTAATAAACATCAGCCTCTGAAAGGTCGGTCTTTCTTTCTTTTTTTCTCTGTTCACCAGACACAGAACTAAAAGTTTACAATGAAAATTGCTTAGATTTATATCTCAAATTCTCATCAGGCATGTTTAAAATCCATACATTGAGTATTTCCATTTTTGTACTGTATAAGCAGTATAAGTAGTAACTAGTTACATGTAACGGAATTACGTAATTTAATTACAAAAAGTTAAATGTAACTGTAATCTGTTACAGTTACTGAGAAAAATGTGTAATTAAATTAGTTACTTATGAAAATGTTAAAGATTACAAGGCGGTTACATCTGAATATTTTCACACACATAGAGATTTGATTGATTTCTTTCCCGAATTGCATTCTCTAAAATATTAATTGAATTCTCTAAAATATGAGACACCAATGTTTCAGGAGTTTAGAACACAGAATAGGACACATGTTTATTTGATAACGGTTCTATTTCCTATTTAGCTTTATGTATATGCCTATATTTTTAAAGATTAACTGTTATTAAACTATATCTTGCTATGATTTTAAATCTGTATTTAACCTCAGAACGATCTAAAAGTAAAAAGAGGTTTAAAGTCTGATTTTGTGGTGGCTGTGCTTTAAAATTTGTATAACCTTAAAAAATGTGTACAATCTTAATTCAAGTGATGAAGGATTTTGAGAAGCATGTCATCTATAAATCTCATGCATAAATCAGAACATCGCAAAAAGTAAGAGGAATATAATTTACCCCGTACACCAGCTCCCCAACCATCCCGTTCCAGATCTTTGTCTCTGGGTCCCGAGCTCCATACTTTCCATCAGGCACGATGGAGATCTTATACTTGAAACCAATGTGTTTAGCAATTTCATATGCCAGATCCACGCAGTATCCCTCATATTGCTCGTTCCCCTCGTACATCTCCCAGTTCTTCTTCAGCATTACATAAGGCCCTTCCTGAATGAACAAAACAACAAAGTACTTTCAATGGGCAACATGTCACACTTTTGTAAACAAGTAAAAGTGATTACATTCCATGTTGTTACATTTCATTTGTACTCTATATTCTAAATATGATGTATAGTGTAGTTATAGATGAATAAAGCTGTTGTAGAAGTGGTATTAAAGATAATTACAGTCATTATGTTAGCCTGTGGCTGATTGATTTGCTATTCAAATGCTAGCCATAAGAACATATTGCTTTTGTTTTAAATTGACATGAGTCAAAATTTCTCCCACATAAGACCATCACAACCAAGGATTTTCATTTAGGGATAAATGTTTTAACGTTTAAGAAAGGGTGTATGTATGAAACCATAACAAAGTGTTCAACCAAGCATTAAAATATACTATAAAGCACAAAGAATGTGCACTATGTGCTGTACATGATTCAAAGCAACGATAACTGACCCATAAAATTCACAACCACAATTTATTACAATTGCATGCCTTTATCAACATTTGAACAGCAAACTGCTATTGCAAACCTGTCACACGCAACGACACAGAATTTGCTCCTATACTATCGCTGAAGCGTATAAGGGATCACAGTTCAGAGGACAAAAAGGAACATTTGTGCAGGAAAAAGCCACACCATGAAAACAAACGGTCATTTTTAGTCATCAGTATGATGTACTGTCATAACAAACAATTTCTAACACAATACAGGTGCTATACAGCAGCAAATAAAAATGTTTACTTACAAGGTGATGGCAGAAGATTTACATAAAAATCCTGAAAACCTGCTTCTCTTTTACAAATATTTTCTAAGCCATATGGCTGGCCTAAAATGATGAAAGGCAGAAAGCCCAGTAGGGAGAATTAAATATTTCACACACAGCAAATAGAGCTCTCCGCACTGAATGTCAACGGAAGATCTGTTTCATCGCAAATTTGTTTGATGTATGAGTATGCAACCTTCTCCTAAAATCTTTTTTACAACCACAGGGCAGTGTTGTTCCTGGTCAGTGTTTTTCTACAGGTAAAAACCGAAAAAAATAAAAAGGATCTAGCATTTGTAGCAGGTAATGTCTCTGTACTCTTGTGTCATGAGGTGGTGTATAGGCAGGCATGCAAAATCATGTCTTACAAATACCACATAAAAGTCTTCATTGCTCATAGTCTTTAAACTTAAAGGGAAAAATCACCTAAAGTGGAACCCATTTACACACCATCTGAGTTTCAAAACCCATGACTGACTTTCTTCTGTGGAACACAAAAGGAGATAGTTAGTCAGAATGTCCAAGCTGCTCTTTTTCACACAATGAAAGGGAATGACGGCCAAGTTAAATTTCATTCTGTGGTCTTCAAAGTCATTATGTTTTTGTTGGACAGCTCTATTCTCTATCCACCTTCATTGTATGTCCAAGCTGCTCTTTTCCATGATTAAAGTGAATGGTAACCAACCAAGATTTTGAGAGCAAGATTTTCCATTTAATATGAATTAATTCAATTGTAATTGAATACAAATAGCATTGAATACAAATAGCAAATTTTATTCTATAATGTCAGAAGACTTGGCATACAGCACACAAGTGATTTGGACTGCTTTTAAGATGCATTCATGGTACTTTTTGGTCCCCATCCACCTTCATTGTATGGAAAATGAGCAGCATGAACATTCTTCAAAACTTTTTTGTGTTCCACATTAGAAAGTTATGCAAGTTTGGAAAGATGAGGATCAGCAAACAGTAGCTATGTTTCCATCCAAAGTTACGAATTAAACGTATGCGCAAAATTGGAATTCCGCATAAAACATTTGCGAATAAAGCACCATTTCCATCCAGTGAGTTAAAGAGAACAAAATCGTCACTTCCCGATTAAGTTGCGCTACGTAAATATCACGAAGAAAAAATTTGCTGCAGTAGGAGAAGGCACTGTATATAAAAATGTTCGAATACAATAAATTACGAGCTTCAGAGTGCGCAGACGAAACGTGGTAATGTTATCTTATTTTCGGAGCCTGCTGTTTAGGAACGCAGTTCTGGAAGTTAATTATAACAAAGCACTTTGACGAGACTTTGCTCAAGCATTTTAGAATGACAAAACTAGCATTTCAGATGCTGTGCAGTGAGATCGGTCCTTTGGTTGGTCCAGTTTTATGCTGTCCCATTGCAAAGTCACATGACTTTTTTAATGCGCATTAGGGAATTTATTTGGTAAAAGTGTTTCCATCGTAGTTTAAGCGCATGTTTTCTTACTGGATACAAAATTGATCAGACTCAGTTTTTATGCACATTTTTAGAATTTATGTGCATATCTCAAAATGCGCAGAAAAATAGGTGGATGGAAATATAGCTAATGATCATTTTCTTTTTTTGAGTGAACTGTCCCTTTAAAATGTATAGAGCATAATGGGAAAATGAGAATTCCTTATGAATATCCATGGTATGCTTTGAGAAGTCTTAATGAATGCAAAGGGGCAGTAATGATGAATTTATATACAGTATGCTATATATACAAAACCTGGTCCTTCTGTTTGCGATACACATGATTTGAATGCTAAAGTAAAGACTTTGTTTGGCTTCCATGGGTCCATCCAGTTTTCAAATTCTGGCAACTCTACAGGTCTTCTCCATTCATGATTGAGTTGCTTATTAGAGCTTGTCTTTGTCTTCATCCACGGCTTGATTTCTCATTGTGGCTTTATTTTGGCTCAGGTAGAAGCATCCATGTTTTTGCCCTCAGTTCTGATTTGTCTCTCTGTCTGTCCGAGCTTCAGTAAGCGCTTGATTTCACCTCTGCAGAGTCCATCAGCTGTTCAGTTTCTTAATAAGGGGTTCCTCACCAGGGGCTGAAAAGAGGAGGATTTGGCTTCAGGTGCGACACTCCAAAACCTTAGCATTTAGCAATTATGTGCCCATTACATCCTTGAATCAGTGCATATACATGGACGATACTGTCATTTATGATCTCCAAAATGTAATACAGAATGTGTCCCATTCATGCAGTGTTTCAATTTACACATAAGATTACAGTTGACAAAATGAACAAAACAAAATACAGAGTCCAAGACACCAGTTCTGGAAACTTTGACAGTACGTGAGAAAGGCAGATGATCACGATGCCATGACAGCACTGTTGAGAGATGCTATTCAGCACACGTAAAAACATTTGGGTTATCTGAATGGACAGCAGTATGACTGACAGGTCAGACAGAGAGAAAATGCGCTTTGATGAACAGCACGGCGCAGCTGTGAATTTCTGCAGTGTTTGCAGATCAGAATCTTTGTGTGTGCAGGTTATGAAGAAATTCATCGCCATTGAGAAATTTTCATTTTTTCACCATGTGTATGAGAGGGGCTCTTGATATATGGAAGCTTTCAGATGAAGGACAAACACCACAAGTTATTTTATTGTAAAATATGGCAAATAAAGTCTCAGGAAATGCTGCTACTCACCATGATAGTCGTTACAATCACGGTTCTGTTCTCCATGCCAGACGTTTCATTGGGAAGCAAGGTTTGATCCTGGGTCAGAACCAACTTATCAGCATCATTCCAGTATCCAATCTGGAGATGGGACAAGGACGAGAATGAGACTCCAGACCTAATTGAGAGCAAATGAATACATGCAAGCTTGCCCATATGGGTAAATGTGCAGAAAGTATTTAGTCTAAACCGTGCTAAACAGTCACACTTTATTTTAAGGTCAAATTCTCGCTATTAACAAACCATTAACTACGACTTTTGCTTCAAAAACTCCTAATTTGGTGCTTATTAATAGTTTGTAAGGTAATTGTTAAGTTTAGGTATTGGGGCGGATTAGGGATGTAGAATATGGTCATGCAGAATATGTGCTTTATAAGTGCTAATAAACAGCCAATATTTTAATATTAGGCATGCTAATAAGCAACTAGTTAATAGTGAGAATCAGTCCCTGTACTAAAGTGTTCCCGGCTAAACTATTTATTTTTCATCTTTACACTTTTGGCATTCACATTCATCTTAAGGACAAAAAAGGTTTAAAAATACATTTAAAATATCTTCTTTTGGGTTTCAAAGAAGAAAGTAAGTCATATGGGATTGGACCGACAAGAGGTGAGTGATGACAATTTTCATTTTTGGCTAAACTATCCATTTAAGACTTGTTTCAGAGAAAGTACACTACATTTTAAAAGTTTAGGATCAGATTTTTAAAAAAGGAAATTAATACTTACTAATTAGAAGTGACAGTAAAGATATTTAGAATAGTACAAAATATTTATATTTCTATTAATTCATCAGAAAATCCTGAAAAAAAAAATGTATCACTGTTTCCAGAAAAATATTCAGCAAAACAACTGTTTTCAACACTGACAATAATAAAAACAAATGTTTCTTGACTGGAGTAATGGCTGCTGAAAATGATGCTTTTCCATCATATAAACTGCATTTTAAAAATAGAAAACTGATTTTTTTTTTTATTGTAACAAGATTTCTCAATATTACTAACACAAATTTTGAATGCTAAACAGTCACACTTTATTTTAAGGTCAAATTCTCGCTATTAACAAACCATTAACTACGACTTTTGCTTCAAAAACTCCTAATTTGGTGCTTATTAATAGTTTGTAAGGTAGTTGTTAAGTTTAGGTATTGGGGCGGATTAGGGATGTAGAATATGGTCATGCAGAATATGTGCTTTATAAGTGCTAATAAACAGCCAATATTTTAATATTAGGCATGCTAATAAGCAACTAGTTAATAGTGAGAATCAGTCCCTGTACTAAAGTGTTCCCGGCTAAACTATTTATTTTTCATCTTTACACTTTTGGCATTCACATTCATCTTAAGGACAAAAAAGGTTTAAAAATACATTTAAAATATCTTCTTTTGGGTTTCAAAGAAGAAAGTAAGTCATATGGGATTGGACCGACAAGAGGTGAGTGATGACAATTTTCATTTTTGGCTAAACTATCCATTTAAGACTTGTTTCAGAGAAAGTACACTACATTTTAAAAGTTTAGGATCAGATTTTTAAAAAAGGAAATTAATACTTACTAGTTAGAAGTGACAGTAAAGATATTTAGAATAGTACAAAATATTTATATTTCTATTCATTCATCAGAAAATCCTGAAAAAAAAAATGTATCACTGTTTCCAGAAAAATATTCAGCAAAACAACTGTTTTCAACACTGACAATAATAAAAACAAATGTTTCTTGACTGGAGTAATGGCTGCTGAAAATGATGCTTTTCCATCATATAAACTGCATTTTAAAAATAGAAAACTGATTTTTTTTTTATTGTAACGATTTCTCAATATTACTAACACAAATTTTGAATGGTAGTGTATCTTCAATATAAGTGTATTGTGTCTACGACTGATAGATTTACTTTGTCTTATTTCAAACATTGCTGAATTTATAAGTGTTTATGTAGATGATAAAGACGAATGTTGTTATTTTTTTGTGGTTTAAGAGCACGGTGTCACCGCGTGTAACATTCTGCTGTGGGTTGATAAACTGTCAGGCTGAGGAGATGCGAGCAGCGGTGTGTGCCCGTGTCCTTACGAGACCCAGATGAACGGGAAAAAGAAGAGCCAGGTTACAGCATCTGCCTAAAGTGAGGCTCACGACCAGCTGATAAATGAGTGCCAATGGCACCCCTGGCGGCTCGTTCCTGTGCTCCCCTCCTCTTCCTTTTCCCATCACTCTTCCTCTGGTGCACTGCTCAACAGCAGCCAGGAGCCGCCACACTCCATAAAGCACGCCAGAGGCAGAGGGCTCGCCATAACTTTAGAAGAAGGTGTGTGACACGAGACTTTACGGTACGTACATGGCTCTGCTGCTAAAACCACCAGACCATTCAAAGCCAAACTTTGTGCATTATTTAAAAACTGTACATTTGGTTGCAATTAACTACAATTTTGCAAATAGGCTGAGAACAGACTATTTGAAAATAAATCATTTATCAATATTTATCATAAATCAAACTCATTTTTATGTCCCTCACACTGAGACTGTTTCTTAGCTAAATATAATTTGAACAGATTTATTCATTTGATTTCCCACAATCCCACAGGGGCATGACGGTCAAAGCCTGCTTGTCAAATAGCCCACTTGCTCCGTCAGCTAACGTGGGTAGAGAAAACACTGTCTCACAGGAAATACTGTGTGGGAGATTTGGTGCCAGAGTAGAAATAACGACCGTTTCTGTAAAAATGATCATCCATCATTTGTGTTAGTCTTAATGATTCATATGGGTTTATAAGGCAGATAAAATGGCTGTAAAACACGATTTTCACCATGTAAAGAGATCCATAAATGCATGAAATGGGAATGCGGTGGTGAAGTTCTGTAAGAGACTTTCAAGATTTTACATTGTACAACAGAAAACGCTGACTATAAAATAATAAAGACTCATCAGGGTCTCCTGGGATTGTTCTCGCAGAAACAGCTGCATCAAGTGAAGCACAGAGCGTTAAGCACATCAAGAAAGACAATGAATTACACCGAAATGACACTCGACAGATGTAGAGAGACAGACCAAAAGCAAAGCCTGATTACGCTTTCTCAGAATCAAAGATAAATCTAGACAGAAAACACCCAGACAAGCACTTTTTAAGTCAGACATACAATATCAAAGTGGAATAACTACCAATGCTTGATACAAGAATGACTTCTTACCCTTCTGGGGCCGTTACTTTTTAATTCGAAAACATCCATAGTGTAGTTGACTCTGCGCCCGTAGTGGTCGAACTGGACATTTCCTGTTAATCCTTGGAGGCGCACCTGGATTGCAGTGATTAACAATGTAATTACAGGTTATCCAACCACTGCAAAGCACCTCGAAACACTTTCATTTACACATTCACTTGCTTTCTTGAACTTTAACATCTCTTTCTTCTGGAGTTATTACCCTACACCAGTGTTTCTCAAACAGGGGTCCATCTAAAATACACACAAAATCCTTTTAACCATGAACAAAAATAAAAAAATCTGAAAACCAATGCAATATATTCAGTGGAGCCAAATCATCAGCAACTAAACTCTTGAGTTTGCATCAGGACTAAATATAAATACACAAAAGGATCATAAATTCTGCCCGGACTTTTTTAGCGATGAGGCAGCAGAGCATGTTAAATGTGAGAGACATAAACTCAAATGTATTTCTTATCTATCTGTGTATAATTAAAAGCAATTAAGTAATTTCCTGCTGATAAAACACTCATGATTTAGTTATTTATAGTATTTTTACATGTTTGACAAGCACGTCCTAATCACTGATGCATATATGAGCTCTGTTTTTTTAGATTACTGTGACAGTATTTACATAGTACTGTAAATATCAAGTATTATTGAATACTAATCCATGTTTTTTTATGTATTTGTTTGTGAGGTGGGTTGTTGGGGTCTGAGAACAGTTTGTGCTTTTAAACATTTGGCACACATTTCACATCGTTCTTGCTCTCACTGTGTCTCTATCCGTCTTGTTTTGTGCCACTCTCTCCTGTTTTGGTTCTAGCTTTCTATATCCTTATAGTTTCCTCTATTACACCTTTCCATTTCCCCTGTCATTTTCTACCTTCCATCGATTCAAATTTGGGCATTTCGCATTTTTCAGATCGTCGATTACTGTTCTGTTCAGCCTCAGCCCTCTGTCACCTCACAGCCTTGTTTTTCCACATTTATTTCTGTCTTCTTCCCATTGAAACACTGCACAAAGCACTTCTTCCCCATCTCATATAAAGCCTGCATTTGCTCATCTGTGCATGTGACCTGTTTGAGTGTGCGCTCCATGTCGATGCCCTGGCTCCAGGGGGCAGCAGGGTTGGCCAGGCAGTCTCCGGCATTGCCCCTGCGGGAGATGTCCACCTTCTGTCTGCGGAGGTTCCTGAAGGCTTCTGCCATCACCATCACTCCGTCATATGTCAGAGCGGAAGTGTACTACAGAAACAGAGGGTCATGGAAAGGTCAGTACACTTCAGTAACACTTCAGTGCTGCTTTAAAGGTTCATATTGTAAACATTACCTGGCTAGTTCATTAGGTATCATGAAATGACAATACATTTGATTAATCTAGTTAAATGTTAATCTCTAAATTTCTAGCTAACCTATAAATATACTATTCTTCTTTAATTAATTTTTTTCATAAAACATTACATATTGTTAATATATAGCATTTGAAATGTAAAAAATATTCTTTTTATATTATACTACGTTTATATATATATATATAAACACACACACACACACACACACACACACACACACACACTTGGGTCAGAAGGATTTTTTAAAAGAAATTCTTACTTTTAATCAGCAAGGACACATTACATTAATCAAAAGTGGCCATAAAACAGTTTTCAAAAACATTAAGAAGCAAAAATGTTTTGAATGTTACTAAGAAGAATTTTTTTCAGCACCAAATTAGCAACTAAGAATGATTTGTGAAAGATCATGTGACCTATAAGACTGAAGTAACGGCTGCTTAAAATGCAGCTCTGCCATCTAAGGAATAAATTACATTTTAAAATATATTGAAATAAAGAACAATCTTTTAATTGTATTAATATTTTACAATATGAATGTATTGATCAAATAAATGCAGCCTTGGTGAGAAGAAACTCTTTCCAAAAACATAAAAAGCAACCCCAAATTTTTGAATATATATATATGAAATGTGAAACTAACTAACCAGTGTCCACATATACAGAAAAGTGCCTGTCAATTAAACTGTTTAGTAGTCACTGTGCAAAAAAAAAAATCCACTGCAGAAGAATATGGCAATTGACCAATCAGAATCAGTTACTCCAGCATAATGTTATTTATAAGTGCTTTGCATATTCACTTCAGTGTCTGTACTATACCAAAATGCTGTTTATTAAACATGAGTCAATCAACCTGACTATATTAGGTTTACACTAATGAATGCCATTTGTAAGGGCTGGCGTCCTCATGAGCTGAGGACATCCAAGTGGAATCACAGGGGACAGTGGTCTGTGTTTTGCAGCTGCATCAAAGGGGGAAAAAAACAAAAACAAAAACAGAGCAATTGACAAACCAAAAACAGCAAGAGAAAAAGAGGAGAGCACATGCTTGTCATTGCACATATTAGGAGCAGACAGAGCATGTGAAATCAGTGAGCTCTGACACAGTCGCTGTGAGGCGCTTCAGTCTCTGGTGGGTGGGTGGAAGTGGGGGGAGGGCCGGTCAGCTGCTATCGGAGGCTGCCCTGATTGCACCAATAAGTGGCTTGTGCTCTTTCTCTCTGTCTCGCTGAGATAAAGCGGCACAGAATGAATCACTGCAGGCAACGCACGGTATTTTTACAAAGGAAACACGCGCGTGTCCTTCAGAGGCCTGATGCTTCGTGCCCTTGTTTTTAATCTGCTGTTGTGTTTCTTATTGCTATTTTAGAGAGTCTGATGTGGTTTGTTTCATCACACTGAGTCAGACGAGGTCATCTGAGCTGAACGTACATATATGCACACTGTTACAGGAAAAATACCCCTGTGTGTTCAGAATGTCCCGCTTGCTTGATGGTTGACGGTTGAAAGAAGCCACTCTGGCCATGCTGTGAGAGGGTTTTTGGTATTCCATCAGCAGATTTCTAGTGTAAGAGCTGGGACTCTTTGTACCATTACAAACACAACACAAAACACACAGAAAGACCGTGGGCTACAATGGCATACAGGGAGCAAGAGATGGAATGACAGAGGGAGTTTGAAATAGGTATTTAAAGGGATAGTTCATCTAAAATATATATATTTCTTTGTCATTATATGCTTACCCTCATGTCATTTCAAACCTGAATGCTATTGTTTTTCTGTATGTATGTACCCTACCATTCAAAAATGTGGGTAAGATTTTTTAATGTTTTTAAAAGAAGTCTCTTATGTTCACCAAGACTGCATTTACTCAATCAAAAATACAGTAAAACAACAATATTGTGAACTATTACTGCAGCTTAAATAATGGTTTTCTGTTTTCATATAGTTTAAAATCTAATTTATTCCTGAGACGGCAAGGCTGATTTTTTTTTAGCCAGTCTTCAGTGTCACATGATTCATCAGAAATATTTTAATATGCTAATTTGGTGCTAATTTCTTATTATTATCAATGCTGAAAACAACTGCGCAGCCTAATATTATGATAATGTTTTTTTTTTGTAGGATTCTTTGAATAATAGAAAGTTAAAAAGAACAGCATTTACTTTGAAACATAATAAATGTCTTTATGGTCATATTTGATCAATTGAATTTGTCCTAGCTGAATAAATGTATTAATTTCTTTCAATAAAAAAAAATCTTACTCACCCCAATTTTTTGAATGGTTATAAAAGCACCATAATACAGTTTAAAAGCCCTTTTGTGAAGAATGTGAAGAAATTTAGGTCACTGCTGAGTCACATCAGTCTGATTTGTGAATGACTCAATCTTCTGAACAGAATCTTTTTAATAAACAAATTTCAGAAATTGGATTGAACGATTTGTTTATGAATTCAACTGCTCCGGTTCTCATTTTGACTTTTTTGGTAATTTTTAAAGAACTCAAGTGGTCACTGTGTATATATATTTAACAGAAATGAATGACTCTCATAAAGTAAATAATTAGAGGATTTTCATTTTTTAGTGTACTATCCCTTTAAGGCAATGTTTTTAAATTGAGTCTACCCACCGTTTCATGGCCCGACAATAATTATCAAAGATAACGGGACTATCTTTTGACTCCCGCAGGACAGAAAGGAAGTACTGCAGTAGTTGCAGTTGAATCACTCCGGCTAATGCCCTGTGCATCCCCTAATCCCTAAAAACACACGGATTGATCCCTGGAGAAGGTGTGTCCTCACTAGGCGGTGCCTTCGGGACTCTTGTTTTTGATATTCCAGTTCTGGTATAAAATGTGCAGTTTATATTTCTGTGCATATGTGCCATTCTATCTTTCTTTTCTTATTCTATCAACCCATCCTTCCATCCATTCATCCTTTCTTCCTTCATCTCTCCTTCCATCCATAATTTCTTCTTTGCTTATTTCTACAAACTAAACCACCAAGATTATTCTTCCCTTCTTTCTCCATTCATCTATCCTTCCAATCCATTCTTCTTTCCTTTCTTCCACAAACCCAACCTTCCATCCTCCCTTCCTACTTTTGTCTCCATTTCTTTCCTTCCTTCTACATCATCATTTTCCTTTGTCTATATTTCTTTCTTTCCACAATCCCAACCACTCACATCTACTGTATCCAGCCTTCCTTTCTTCCTTCGTCTATCCTTCTATTTATCTTTCTTTCCTTCAACTAACCCAACCACTCATCCTTCCCTTCGTCTATATTGCTTTCCATCCATCCATCCATCCCTTTTTTCCTTTGCCTATATTTCTCTTTCCTTCCTTCATTTCACAAACCAAACCACCCACATCCATTCATACTTCATCCTTTCTCTCTTCCTTCATCTATCCTTCCATCCATCCTTTTTCTTCCATCCATCCATACTTTCACCCACCCATCTTAATTTCTTCCATCCCTTCCTTTTTCAGCTGTCTATATTTCTTTTTTCCATCTTTCATTCATTCCTTTCTTCCTAAAACCCATCTATCCTCCCTATCCCTTTTGTGTCTATATTTCTTTCCTTCCACTCATCCCTTCATTTTTCCTTTATCTACATTTCTTTCTTTCTTTCCTTCCTTCATTCCACAAACCCATCCACTCACATCTACCCATCCTTTCATCCATTCATCCTTCCTTCCTTCATCTATATTGCTTTCCTTCTTCCACCATCCATCTATCCCTTCCCTTTTCCTGTCTATATTCCTTTCTTTCCTTCCTTCATTTCTAAAACCCAACACCCACATCAAATCATACTTCACATTCACCCTTCTCTCTTCCTTCATCTATCCTTCCATCCATCCTTTTTCTTCCACCCACCCATTCTTCTTTCTTCCACCATCCCTTCTTTTTTCAATTGTCTATATTTCTTTATTTCCATCCTTCATTCCCTCCTTCTTTCCTTCCTAAACCCATCTATCCATCCCTTCCTTTGTCTATATTTCTTTTCTTTAATTCCCGTCTTCCACACATTTTTTCATCCTTTTTGCTTACATTATTCATCCAACTTTTCCTTTCATACACCTACCATATCATCCATCTTTCCTTTCTTCCACCCACTCATCCTTCCTTTCATCCATCCATCCATCCTCCCTTTCTTTCATCTTTTCTTCCATACTTCCACCTATATTTTTTTCCTTCCTTGCACTATCCATCCCTCTATCCATGCTTTCTTTTTCCTTATCCATCCATCCATCCATCCATCCATCTATCCATCCTTACTTTCTTCCACAAATCCTTTCTCCCTTCCTTACTGACATTATCCATCCATTCTTCCTTTCTCCCTTCTACCATCCAACATTCTCCCTTCCTTGGTTACATCATCCATCCATCTATCATCCATCCATCCTACATTTTTTCCTTACGCTGACCCATTCATCCAAAATGTCTTTCTGCCTTACTTAACCTTGACACACGCTTATAAAACCACTGGATGTGATCATCAGACTCATTCTGGAGATTCGAGTGGTTTCTCAAAGTGGCTGGAGGGACTCAAACAGGGCGTTTATGCATTTATGCTAATTTATCTGACTTCAAAGTGCTTCCACACTGGACCGGACCATGAGACGGTACCTTGGGAGGAGCGTCGGAGCCGGGATACTCGCGCTGGTCCAGCTTGTTCCATCGCTGCATGAGTTTAATAACCATGGGATTGCTGAAGTCCACCAGCTGAAAGCCTGTCACATTGGCTCCCCCATGCATGAAACGCTCCAGATTTATGTCCTTAAAACCCTGCCAGAGCAAAGAAGGGGAAAGAGTAAGAAATACAGAGAGCGAGAGAGGGGGGGAAAGAGAGATTATTAAAATGCAGTTGGCAATGCAGCGCTACGATAAGAGAAATTCCACAAACATTCATATCCAGCTCGCCTCTGTGAGCCAATTCCATGCACAGCCAGAGAGCAGCGAGAGAGAGCACGCTCTGCAGCTCCCAGCATCATTAAAACACTGTCACTACCGCTCACACTGGAATACGAATTAGTCTCTCAAATTGACGTATCTTGCTTAAAGAAAAGCGAGGATTAAGAAAGAAAAAGAACGAGGGAGGGCAGGAGACAGAGAGGCCGTGACATCTAGAGAGAGAGAGAGAGACCAGTGGAGTGGAGAGGAATATGTAGAAAGTAAGAGATAAAACAGAATATGAAAGGAGGACAAGCTGACAGGGAGAATAAGGCAATAAAGGAATACAATTTAGCTCACCAAATTTGCCATGATGTAATGGTAGCCTTTGACATGCTTGCCGACACTCACAACCTGCGGAGATAAACCAGACATTGCAGTGAGGGCAAATCCTAAAAGCAAATACAGTTGTCGGTATTCACCCAGCATATGAATGCACAGCAGAGCTGTAAGCCGTTGGGAAAGCAGAATTCTACTGTTATTAATTATTTCTAATCAAACAGGCTGCCTTTTTCCATAACGCTCTGTAATTTGAGGAATATTGAAGCAAACGCCAGCAAGAATATCTTAAAATGATTTTAACAGCTACAAAATGTTGCAAAGGGAAATATCAAGGGATCAGTTTGCAGGGAATAAAGAAATATGCCCTTCTAATGTGTTATTTCTGAAACTGAATTACTTGAGGAAATCTGTTCTTTGTTCCCTCAGGACCTTGTGCTTGCGCATATTTAATTCTGTTTAGTTAACCCTGATGCACAGTGTACAGTACAGTTTATAAACATTTAAAAAACATTTTTAACTATTCTGGGTGTGGTGTTGCATTACCTTTGACCCTGTCCCATAATTTTCAATGACTGTGTATTTTATATGACCTTGTGTTAATACATATATATTTAAAATAAAATAAAACCTGTCTATTACAGGTTATTCTATATTACAGAAATACAGACAGGTAAAATATATACAAATTATTTAACCAAATAAGACAGAAGAAACAAGAAACATTTTTATTCAGAAATTATATATATATATATATATATATTACTACTGTCAAACAATTAATCTCGATTAATCGCATACAAAATAAAAGTTTTTGTTTGCATA